TCTATATTTATTACAAATGCTTCTGTATAACTTTAGTATATAATTATTCTGAATTGTCACCTGATACTAGGTTGTATTCCTCTATATAACTTCAATATTGTGCAGATGTCTCATGATTTGCCAATTATACTGATGTGACTATGTTGTAAATATCTTATCCTAACTGATCAACAAAATGTCATTGTTATAATACTATCTATATATTATATAAATGATTATTCAAATTTTCGCTATCAGTAGGTTTTGAACTCATTACTTACTACTTGAAAAGTTGACAACTTATTCACTTCACTAAGTTGTCACACTTCTAAAATTAATATAAATTAAATAATAGTGATAAAGAATCCTGTTCAAAAACCAATAGCTTAGTAAATATAATTCAATATAAATATTTACAAAAAAAACAAATTTTAATTTTTAAAATTTTAATATATTATAAATCAGTATATAAGTATTATCAAAAACAGACATATCAAAGTTTTTTATGATCTGATGACTTTGTAATTGTAAAATATAATAATTGTGATAATTGTAATTATCAAAAAAAAATAAAACATGCTAATATGATATTGAAGTAAAGGCTAAACAAATATTAAAAATTGTAAATCAAGTAGTATTACAACAACAGTCATTTAATCCTTCTTAACCTTATATAAAACTAGATGATATACTAAATATATTTATAGATTCCAAGTACCAAAATGTAAAAAAAGCCTTCTAAGTCTGAAAGATTTTTAAAAACCAAACAAAAAAAAGACTATTCAAAAACATAAAGAGGTTAAAGTAGTTAATATTGCATAAAGTAATTCAACACAAGATAAAATTAAAATGATTTACAATCTGAATCTTTTACTTTAAGCTACAACTATCAAATTGTGGATGTTTAGAGAATAGTAAATACTTATTAATGTCACAAGTGTGAAAACTATTTTTACAAAAAAAAAAAAGGTAGTTAGAAAATACTATATTCATGTATAGTAGTTAAGGTTCAAACAATATAATAATTGGCTCTATTAATTTGCTATTAGAGATATACTAATTTAGAAAAAGTATGTTGTTTTTTAAAAGTTTTTTTTTTATATTAGTAGATATCTAACAGCTAGAAATAAATAAACTATTATATAATAGAAACAAATTATTTTAGGAAAACTTATTTAAAATTTGTTTTATTAGATTGATTTTTTAAAGGCTACAAGTAATTAAAAAAAGTGGTAAACTAATGCCATATAGCATCCCGTTAAAACAGGTTCAAAAAAAAGAGCATTAAATTTATAAAAGTTTATATATAAAGGTTTATAAAAATAATATAATCCCACTATAACAAAGTCGTCAGGCTATTAGTACCAAATTATATCTAAATTTACTAATAGTTTCGTTATATCGAGACTAATTTAAATAAAAAAAGCCAAAGACAAACTTCATTATTATTATATAATATATGCGTGTTTGTTATATCAAGTTTATTATAAATTCTGATTAGTAGTATTATGACGTTCAAGTATTTTCTAAAAAAAAATCTATTTTTAGATTTTGATTGACCTGCATTATGCATGATAGGAATATTTTAAATTTTCTATAACGTAATCAATATAAGAAAGCCTACCCTTAAATAAATAGAGTAATTTTACAATTTATCTTTAATCACATTTGATATTCTTTGTGTGTTGATAAGTTTGCTAGTAAACATTAAGTCCGGATGTTTTGATAAAGGAATTGTCAATTCTTTGGCTGTTTTATCTGCTTCAAAAAATTGCATTTTAGTTTCGTTTGAATTATCTGAACTTTTCGTGATCTTGTTCCATTCTAAAAGTTTCTGATTGACCTCCCAAACGGCAAGTCGTTTTTCTTGATCAGCATCCATGCATTGTTTAACAAACTCAATATAGCAATTCGGAGTTCCAGGTGCAAATTCAGGTCGTAATCCACGGAAAATATTCACTGCAAGTATATTATTAAATTCATATCCATCAAAAGGCCTTTGACATCTCTGACATGATGACACCGAAGCCGTAAATATCGATAGCTCGCGTGAGCTTTTGACCTGATAGAACCTTTGGTGCCACATAAGGAATAACGCCATAAATATTGTATTCTGAATCATCTCAAACTTTGTAAATAATTAAATTGAATAAATTAATTAGTTTAATAAAAAATTATTGAATAAATTGATCTAATAAATTATTGAATAACTAAATTTACCTTACTTCTTTTAAAGAACCGGACAAAGTCTTGAGTGCAACGGTACTATTTGGTTCTCATGATCTTTTATAGGAATAGAGTCATAATTAATTTTAATTTCTTCAATTTTTCGTATACCGTCCAACCAGATTGCTGAATATACCGAGCCGAATCATCCTTCGCCTATTTTTTCTGTATTAATTAATTTGTCATATGGAATCCATTCAATCATGTGAACATATCCCCGAGTTCAAGTTGGTCAGGGTCGCATGATATACACCATGATGGTTGCGTGTTATATTTATTACAATGTGCACATTTACCAAATTTAGGGAACCGCTAAAGCCTTGTACCCACGTGACCAATCATGCATATCAATAATCACAAATGTGATAAAATCGTATATATATAAAAATTAAATTTTTTATAAAATTAACCAAATATATCTCGATAACTACCCAAGCAAATGCAATAAATTTTTTTTTATCTTAATTCTAGAGATATCTAAAATTGAAATAAAAAAATGTTCATCGTATTTGCTTGGATGATTGTTGAGATATCTTTGCTCAAAGTTTAAAACGGCTATATATAATTACACAACAATAAACCCTTGTGCAATAACTTTGAACAAAGATATCATGACAACCATCCAAGCAAATACGATGACCATTTTTTTATTTCAATTCTAGATATCTCTAGAATTAAAATAAAAAAAAGTTTATTGAATTTGCTTGGATGGTTGTCGAGATATCCTCACTCAGAGTTCTGCAAAAAATTTAAAACGCCTATATAATTATTGTGCAATAACTTAAAAACAGATATCTCGACAACCATCCAAGCAGATTTGATGAACATTTTTTAAATTTAATTATAAAGATCTCTAGAATTAAAATCAAAAAGTTCATCGCATTTGCTTGGATAGATATCTTCTGTAAAAATTTAAACCGGCAATACGATAACATTCACTTGTCAATAATTCTGTACAAAGGTATCTCGACAACTATCCAAGAAATTTGATGAACTTTTTTTAATTTCAATTCTAGAGATCTCTAGAATCAAAATAAAAAAAGTTATTGAATTTTCTTGGATGATTATTGAGACACTTTAAATTAATTTTTATAAATAAAAAACGCAGTAAAAAAAATCGCTATATATCATAAATCGTATTAAAAAAAAGTATAAAAAAGCTCTCAAATAAAATCATATAAATCATATATTTATTATATTTTTTTACTATTATTATGATTATCATTAAAAAAAATTGTATACTTTATTTAATCTTTATACATTAAACTAAAATGTTGTCTTTCAATAAACTTTAGAAATAGAGATGGGCAAAGTAATTTTGTAAGTAATAATGACCTATAACTTATCTCTTACTTAATAATAACTTATCCCTTACTTAATATTAAGTAATATTAAATAATTATTACATTCAATTATCTATTACATGTACATATAAAACACATGATAAAAGTCGGAGACAGGTGATCAAAATTGAGATTGAATGAAAAGGTGTTATACTAATAATAAAATTATTGTAAATTACTTAATAATACCTATTGCAGGTTAATATTAAGTATTATTAAGTAATAATATGTAACTGACTTTGCCCATCTCTATTTAGAAACCTTTGTCGGCAGGTTAAACGTTTATTAATAGAGAATAAAAAAAAACAGTAAACCAAATTCACAAAGCAAGAACATAAAGACTCATTTACCATTACGTCCAAATCATTTTATTCGCATTAATTTCGTAGTACGTATAGAGAACAATTATTAATTAAGAATTACAAACAAGTTCACAAAACAAGAACCTAAATACTCATTTACCATTAATCCAAATCATTTCATTAGCATTAATTTTGCTGCTTGGAGTATTTAAGAACATTTATTAACGAATAGAATTAAAAATAGTATAACAAATTCGCAAAACAAGATCATAAATACTTACCAATACGTTCAAATCATTTTATTAGAATTAATTTCGCCGGTAAGTATAGAGGACATTTATTAATGAATAGAATTAAGAACAAGTTCACAAAATAAGAACATAAATAATCATTTACTATTACATCCCGATCATTTCATGCGCATTAATTAATAGATATGTACAAATTAGAGAATTAAAATAAAACGGAATAACAAATTAATAAAACGGCATAACAAATTCACAAAAAAAATAAGGACACAAATACTTACCATTATGCCAAATCATTTTATTCGCATTAATTTCGTTTATGTGTGTATGAAGAACGTTCATTAATAGATAAAGCTAAGAATTGCAAAACAAGTTCACAAAACGAACACAAATACTTATATTTTTGAAAAATCTATTTTATTTTTTTTTTAAAAAAAATCTAATTTTTTAAAAAAAAACTATTTTTTTTAAAAAAAAAATCAAAAAAATCTATTTTTTTTTAAAAAAAATAGAACATATATACATGTATACAATATGCTTTAAAGCATAAAAATCAGAAATCAAGAAATAAAATGTAAATTCGCATTCTATTTTTGAAATATTAAAAGTTCTTATGAAGATCCCATTCGTGTAAATTGCATAACTAAAATATGATCTGTACTTGATCCTTTGATACTCCGTAGTATTGTAAAATATCGAATGTTTCAGCTTTAAAAATAATGAAGTTATTAGTTAATTGTAAAATTTTTTTATCAATCATCGCTGTTTTCGAATTAGTGCGATCAATGAATTTTGTGAATCCCATGAATTCTGCATGTTACCGTTATTTTAACAATGGCAACATGGGATTCACAAAATTTATTGATCGTACTAATTCGAAAACAGTGGTAAACTATAAATACTCACTTCCGATTATTCATCAAAACAGATCCCACACACAAGTTCAATTCTCTCATAAAAGAATTTGCTTGTTCTACATCTCCTTTTTCCTCAACCCACCAATACATATCACGCACTTGTTCCATCAATTCATTTACAGCCATACGTCTATTTTCTGTGGCTTTTTCAGCCTCTGATTTTTCTGGTACTTCAACTTCAACCAATTCTCGACCCTCATATACTTCGAATCTATTATCCTCAAAAATTCGCTGAAATTTTCTCCAAGAATCAATGGTTAATTTATTGGTACCATAAATATGGTCGTGAAAGATATGCCGGCAGGGCAGCAAGTAACGACGGAAGAACAAGCCCTGACAATCTAATGCTATTAAACCTGGAGGCCCTTTACCTTTTTCCAATCTTTTTGCTACAGCAAAAATTTCATCGATGACCTTTTTTTGAATGGGATAGGGAAATTTATGAACCTCGTTAAGAATTTCTTGATCAACGCCAAATGCTGATATTTTTTTTGTATGGAATTCAAAGGCTACATATTCAGCATCTGACCATTTTTTTGCATCTACTGCTACAATATTATGACAGGCGCCAATTAAACCATGGTAAGGAGAGGTCATACGTTTTAGCTCACTATGATACGATTCTATAGGGTTGGTGGATGTTACTTGCATAAGGAGAGGGGAATGTTGGCGGGCCCAAAGAGCCCATTGGTGGGTATTTTTTTTGTAATTTCGAACTATATATTTTTGGATTGTAGGAACAGGACATTTGTCAGCAGCCTGTTGAACAACCTCCTTATACCCGATTTTTGTCTGTTTGTGCATTGCCTTAATCATTTCGTTTCTGGTCTTTACATCATATACCTTACTCATCCAGGTTCGCATAACGTGGATGGTACAAAAGATTGTACTACACTCCTGCTCACCCGCTTGAAGGCCCAGGAAAGCTAACGTAATCGCATTGCCCTCTATATCACTTTGATCGATAAGAAAATATCAGGGCTTCCAGTTATACCCTAACTTTTTAATGATTTTTAATGCTTCTGCAACAGTACTACTATCTTCCTTGCTTACAAAAAAGTGCGCACCAACGTTCCAGCAACCATGACTATCGCGGATGTATAATGAAAACAGACACCAATCATGCCTGTTCGTTTTATGCGTGGAATCAAGAAGAGTCAGCCATCCAAAACGCTGAAGTTTCTCCAATTGATTTCTATGGACAAAAATGAAACCCCGGGTATTCTGGTGAGGAACTTCATAGTACTTAACTTGGTACTCATGATTTTTTAAAAAAAAAACTGACTCCCGAATATCCAACGCCAATTGCATATTACCGATAAGGGGGGCATTCTGAGACCCTCGAACTTTGTATTTTATATTGGCAACCTCCTTACATCTTAACTCCTTTATGCTTTCACTGAGTCCTAAATTCACTGTGGCATATTCTTTAATAGCACTAGTTATCGCAGGGGACGGATAGTTCTTCACAGCTTCCCGCTCAACTAGAACTCGAACGGCTTTTGAACGTTTAAGCTTTTCACTATCCTCCAAGGTATGTGCATGATCAGGCGAGTTTAAATACCGTTCAACCTGTACTACTTGATCTGTTACCAAGTGTAATACCTTAATTTTTGCGAAACATTGACCAGCAGGACGAACTTTGGTTTTTCGACGCTTTTCACTTGGTATCCCCTCTTTCCGAGTACTTGATTCATTGTGCTTGGTGAACCGACAAGTATATACTTTTCATGAATTTCCATTATTATAGATTTTATAATTAAATTGAGTCTAAACATTGGACACAAGGGGCCACCACTCATCATCAAACTCTCTTAATGGAATTGTAACAGGCTGATTGATATTAAAGAAAATCTTGCGTTTCTCATCAGGAGTTAAATTCGTCAAATTCATATGTATATTTATAATATATATATATATATGTATGTAAAGAAAAAAATATATATATATGTAAAAAATATATATATATATATGTAAAAAAAAAAATATATATATATGTAAAGAAAAAAAAAGTAATGTTAGGTTTGTAGGTGAAACTCTAATAGTGTGACAAAAAAAAAGTATTAGCCCGATACTAAAATAAAAGTTTGGCTTATACTGTTTAAAACGACAGTTAAAAAGAACGTATATATATACGTACGGGGTAGTATAAGTAATGGTACATGATATTCCGTTTAAAAAAGAAAAAAAAAAAAACTGCGAAAGGAAAAAAAACTGCTGAAAGCAGAAAAAAAGAAAAAAAAAAACTGCGAAATTAAAAACAAAAGATGATCGATTTTTTCTTTTTTTTTATTTATACTCAATCAATTACTGAATCAATTAAATTAATCAATAATTCAATAATCACATTGTGATTATTGATGTACATGATTGATCACGTGGGTACAAGGCTTTAGCGATCCCCCAAATTTAGAATCGCTTTAAATCAAAATATAATACAGTAATACTGTTAAACTGGTTATCGAATGTAAATAAATTTTGCACTTACCGGGTAAATTAATGCGAATGAAATGATTTTAAGTGTATTAGATAATGGCAAATAAGTATTTATGTTCTTTATTTGTGAACTTGTTTTTAATTCCAATGATTCATAGGTGTTCTTTATACTCACATACTGAATGAATGATTAATGCGAATGAAATGATTTGAAGGATTTTAGGTAATGGTAAATAAGTATTTACGTTCTTGATTTGTGAACTTGTTTTTAATTCCAATGATTTATAAAAATGTCTTTTACACTTACGGGCTAAATTAATACCAACAATTAATTAATATTTATGAACTTTATTGTAATTAACTCCCTAATAAAATAAAATTGAATTATTAAAAATATATAAAAATATTTTCAATTTTTAAAATTGTGAAATTGAAAAAATTAGTTTACTTCATTCTCCATTCCGTATATTTTTGACCATTTTTTTCTACGCCAATTCCGTAATAGTGACAAATAGCAGTTTTCCGAATTCCCATCGAATTATCTGCCTCAGTTGACTTCAATTCCAATTCCTAAATTATAACAATAACCAACTTGAT